CATTACTTACGCGAATAAGGGTACAGCTAAACCGCGACCACTCTCAGGTTTCTCTCTGGTAACACCAAGACTGTACTCTAGGTCAGTTATAAAAAACGGATCTACAGTGATCAAAGATACCGACACGACGTCCATACTAGTTACACTGTAATAATACAGTGCAGCACTGGTAAACAGGTGCCATCCAAAACGTGACTACGATCGCTGTTAGGATTTTCCTTGGTGAAAATAAACGGAAGCGGCTCCAATATATTGAGTTCCAATACATTTCGACGACAAATTCTAATTATTAATAATTAATTACGAGAATAAATGTGTGTGTGTATATAATAAAACTTTATTAGCATTTTGAGTATTTAATTAATTAGTGTATAAAGTATATTAGTAATATATCCATAATTGAACATGGTGCGAAGTAGTGACAAGTGAGTATTCTTGATTGAGGTTATAATATAGCATTTGATATTTAAATTCGTTATCTTGGCTGTAATTGTCAAATGAACTTTCACATAGGGACAGGCATCACCGACGAAGATCGAGATCAAGGTCCAGGTCGAGATCGGCCGAACCTGAGAAGAAACGTCGGCGTTCCAGAAGCAGGGACCGAGAGAGAGATAGAGACAAGGGACGACATAGAGAACGGAGGAGTCGTTCGCGAGACAGAGATAGAGAGAGGAGTGACCGAAGAGAGCGTTCCGAGAGGGATAGGGATCGCGAAAGAAAACGGTATACTGTCAAAAAAAGAAGAAAAAAAAATATATAAGAAGAAAAAGAAAACAATATTAGTATCTTAGTCCCAAACAAGATTGTTTATAGCTTTTACTTTTCTCTCTGATCACAAATTTATCGAAGATGTTTTCGACAATGATTGTAACAATAAAATAATTTATTGACATTGATTGTTCTCGGTATACTAGTGGAGACAGTAAAGAAAAGCGTCTTACAGGCTCAAAATCTTCGCGCTCTGGCAAAGAACGATCCAACAGGTCTCGCTCGCGTGATAGAAAGGATAAAGAGAAAGGAGATAATGAAGAATTGCCTTTTGATCATACAAAATTGGATAAAGTAAGTCTTTCAAAGATTGCACGAAGAACAACAAGTGAGATTTATATATGCATATATGACAATTAATTGATATTATAGGAGGAGGAACAAAAAAGACTGGAATTGGAAATGCAAAAGAGAAGGGAGAGGATAGAAAGATGGCGAGCAGAAAGGAAGAAGAAAGAGCTGGAAGCAACCAAAAAAGACGGTAAGACATCTATTTTGGCAAATCTTCAGCTACCCATGAAAAAGTGGTCCCTTGAGGATGATAGTGATGAAGAGACTCCTGTGGTACAGAATAACACCAAGGAAGCAAAAGAAGAAGGTGTAAAGGAAGAAGTTGAGGAAGTGAAAGAGGAGATAAAAGATGAAGAAGAGGAGATTGATCCACTCGATGCTTTTATGGCAGAGGTAGATAATTAATTGTTGTATTTATATACTTAACTCAATCTTACCTATGTTATATCTAATTGATTTGACAGGTTCAAGAAGAAGTGAGAAAAGTAAATAAATTTGATAGTAAAGCTCCAAAAAATGCCAATAATGGCACTAATTCTACATCGCAGAGTGGTGGTGTGGTTATTGTGACTGGTGTGGCTAAGAAAAAAATACAGAAGCAAAAAGGAGAATTGATTGAACAAAATCAGGATGGATTAGAATATTCCAGTGAAGAAGAAGGCGAAAATCTTCACGAAACTGCGGCCGGTATTGCAAATAAACAGAAACGAGAATTAGCTAAAGTTGATCATGCTACAACAGATTATCAACCATTTCGAAAATCTTTTTATGTCGAAGTGCCTGAGATTGGTATAGTTATACATTCTTATATTTTTTCTTTTTTTTTGTTACATTAATAAATATATAACGCTATATAAATGTGTAGTATGTTATTAATATATGTTATTATGTACTTAGCGAGAATGACACCGGAAGAAGTAGAGGTATATAAAGAAGAATTGGAAGGTATTCGCGTTAAGGGTAAAGGTTGCCCAAAACCTATTAAATCTTGGGCGCAATGTGGCGTTACCAAGAAGGAATTAGAAGTATTAAAAAAACTTGGTTACGAGAAACCGACACCTATTCAATGCCAGGCGATTCCGGCGATCATGTCTGGTCGCGATCTCATAGGTATAGCAAAAACTGGTAGCGGAAAGACTTTAGCTTTTCTTCTTCCTATGTTTCGTCACATACTCGATCAACCACCGCTGGCCGATGGTGATGGACCAATCGCGTTAATTATGACACCAACTAGAGAACTGTGCATGCAGATTGGAAGAGATTCAAAGAAATTTACAAAATCTCTAGGTCTTTCGCATGTATGTGTTTACGGCGGAACTGGCATTTCGGAGCAAATTGCAGAGCTTAAGAGAGGAGCTGAAATCATTGTATGTACACCGGGAAGGATGATTGACATGCTCGCCGCTAATAGCGGACGAGTAACTAATTTACGTCGCGTGACATATGTAGTGCTCGACGAGGCCGACAGAATGTTCGACATGGGTTTTGAACCACAAGTGATGCGCATTATGGAGAACGTGAGACCGGATAGGCAGACGGTATTATTTAGCGCGACATTCCCGCGACAAATGGAAGCGTTAGCCAGACGGATATTGACAAGACCGGTGGAGGTACAGGTCGGTGGACGCTCTGTCGTTTGCAAAGACGTGGAGCAGCATGTAGTTGTACTCGAGGAAGATCAGAAGTTCTACAAATTGCTTGAAATTCTTGGACATTATCAAGACAAAGGTTCCGCTATTATATTCGTAGACAAGCAAGAGAATGCGGATACATTGCTAAAAGATCTTATGAAAGCTTCTTATTCCTGTATGTCTCTTCACGGTGGTATAGACCAATGCGATCGAGATTCCACCATATTAGATTTCAAAGCGGGACGAACAAAATTACTCGTGGCCACGTCTGTTGCTGCTCGAGGTTTGGATGTTAAGCACTTGGTATTAGTCGTCAATTATGATTGTCCCAATCACTATGAAGATTATGTGCATAGATGTGGTAGAACTGGTCGGGCCGGAAATAAAGGGTAAAATAAATCTTTAAATTTAAAACAAAATGCTTCTTATATTAAATTTATTACAATATGTTTTTCTTTAGATATGCGTATACTTTTATTACGTCAGAACAAGAACGTTATGCCGGCGATATTTTACGTGCGCACGAATTAGCGGGTGTACCCGTTCCAGAACCTTTGCGCCAATTATGGGAAGGTTACAAAGCTCGTCAAGCTGCTGATGGAAAAAAGGTTCACACTGGAGGTGGTTTCAGTGGCAAAGGATTTAAGTTTGATGAATCTGAGGCTGCTTTGGCGAATGAGAAAAAGAAATTCCAGAAAGCAGCTCTAGGACTACAAGATTCTGATGACGAGGACATAGAAAATGATATCGATCAACAGATCGAAAGCATGTTGGCACCTAAGCGAACCGTTCGTGAAATAGCTAAACCAACTGCGACCAACATCACAGTACCTGGTCAACCAGTACCCAGTGCCACCGATAAGCTCGAATTGGCCAGAAGATTGGCGTCAAAGATAAATATCGCGAAGAATCTTGGTGCCGAGGCAAAAGGTGCCACTCAACAAGCGGCGGAAGCCATACTTAAAGGCGCAGGTCCTACGAATCTTATTACGGTAAGAACTTAATTTTTATTCGAATATTACTGGAATAATTTTATCGTAAATAAATTTTCTTTTACTTTTTTACGTAGGCAAAGACAGTTGCTGAACAACTGGCTGCAAAGCTAAACACGAAATTGAATTATCAGCCACGCGAAGAAGATCTCGTGGAAAGTGATGTGGAAACGGGCGAGCAAACATTCCGCAAATACGAGGAGGAACTCGAAATCAATGACTTCCCACAACAAGCGAGATGGCGAGTTACGAGCAAAGAGGCTCTTGCTCAAATCTCAGAATATTCCGAGGCGGGTTTAACAGTAAGAGGAACGTACATCGCGCCTGGAAAAACACCACCAGAAGGCGAGAGAAAATTATATTTGGCAATAGAATCGACGAGCGAATTGGCAGTTAGCAAGGCCAAGGCGGAAGTATCTCGGCTTATCAAGGAAGAACTCATCAAATTGCAGGCGTCTGGCGCTCACACCGCATCGCGAGGTCGATACAAAGTTTTATAAAGTTTTGGGATCATTTTGTCAAGATATCTTTTAAAGATATCATATTACACGCATAGACGGATGATAAAAGTTTAAAAATTTATTATATACATGCAAATGTGTTTGTTTTTAACAAACGATACAATAACAAGATATACTTAACGACTTTGAGAACATTATTTATATCATTGGCACGAACCACTGCAATCCAAGTTTTTTTTTGCAGATTTATAAATAAAATGCGATCATCCACATTGTCCTCTTAACGATATCTATTATCTTAATTTATCTATACATGATACAAAATGAAAATTTGACTGAGCACTCAGCATATGCCAGAAAAATCATTTATGGAAGTTATATTATTAACAAAATCCTGTTTTTCTTTATCGATAAAAAATTAATAACATAATTCGAAAGAATAAAATTTACTTGAGTCTTTGCATAAAAATCACATATGTGAACACACGATAATGCTAATGTCGATCAGTACGCGGACTAATATATAACTTAAGTTTACGGAGTCTTTTTATTTACAACTTATAATGAGCAGTTTTCGATTGTCCGCAACGAAATTATGAATTACGCGCGCAGAAAATCCTATATTTTTTTGTACATCCACTCTCGATATATATTTTTTCCTCTTTGGTAGTATTAATTGATAACTAAAAATACATTCTGCTGTACGCTATTAGAAGGCACTAGAAGAATCACAGACACGAGACACGCTGTAGACATTCGTCGCCGCGAATGACATCGCGATTAGGTAAATAAATGCTTTCAGCACTAAGGACGCAGTAGAAAATAAGATTAATCGTTCATAGCTGCAACTATTCCTAAATCTCGGATTCAGTTCACGCGATTGAAATGCATCATTAAATATTTCGGACAGGATAAGCGATGTATCTCATTTTCCTTTTGGCATGATCGTAATTCAAGATAAAACATTTAGCGAAAAGATGGTAATAACAATCATCGCGAGCCAAGCCCGAATGTTCATGGCACTAGAAACGTAACCGTGAGCTATTTCAGCTCTGGTCAATGAACCGAGAGGTACTTCTGCCGCGATTCGAGGACTCCTCTCTGAAATCCTGGTGACGAGTTTCTCCGTTTCTGTTACGCAAGCTCGCAGTTGCAATGCTGATACCTTCTTGGTCGTAGGTTGTACGATGATGAAGATGTCGCGATCGGGCGTCATCATACCACGAACAACACATTGCGCTACTTGCAGCTGACGACCCAGAGCGATTAGAAGAGCTTCCAGGGTGACTGAATCTTTATCAGCTTCTTCGTTCATCGTGTAATAAATCCTTTCCAGCTATAAAATAAGGAAAAAGCAAATTAATTCAGTGCATCAAAAATTTCTATAAATATTGTAATATTCTAATGTTGTAATAATGGTTAACAAAAATATATCTATTTTGTGATAACGCAAACGTTTAAAAGATAATCGGAAAGTCTGAGGAGTATCTCGTTTTAATACATTCACTATTACAGTTGAAGTACCTGTTTTTTCGAATAGAACAATTTCGCTGCTCCTCCACAAACAGGACAACAAGCACCGGGTGGGTAACCCCGATACAATACGGCTCCACCAAAGCAGGACATTGCACGGCGTCACCGCAACGAGGTTTCGCCTGGTCTCCTATGAGACCGACGGCAACGCAAGGACCTGAATAATCCACGCTGACTCCCTCGGCCCAAGCCGCACATTCGTTAGTGTAGACCTCGCCGTTGATACCGCACACTGGGCCCCGAAGGCTGCATCCTTTCAAACAAGGCCCTCTGTAATTCATGGTAGCTTCAGCTCGAATCATCGCACACACGGAGGGATATTGGCGATTCTCTCGATCGCAAACGGGTCCGCTGGACTCATCGCGTGGATTGCAATCTATTGCCACGCACTCGTACTGCTGGCACGGTTTGTGTAAACCCGACAGGCAGATCCTAGGTCTGCGGACGCATCTTTCCGAACTGTCACAGGGATTGGGTATACAAGGATTTCTGCTGGAGCAACTGCCAAAATCTACCTCGGTGGCTGACAGCTCGGCGCATTTTGCCAGGCAAGCCGATGCGAAGGTGAAGCCCAGTCTGCCGCAGACTGGAACGTAATGTGCTGGACAATCACAGGGCAAAGATGCGCGCGGTTCGCCGCAGCTTCTCTTAGAGCACGTGAACTCGCCCTCGAAGCAATGGCAGGGATTGCACTCGAGGTAGAAGTTGGCTTTATGCTGGATAAACCGATCGTGCACCCAGCAAGATTTGAAATCGAAGCAGTTGAGCGTACGGCATTTCTCCAGGCCGTGCGTCGTGCATTGGCATATCTTCAGACAACCCTGCTGATCAAATCGCGGAATCTGGATCCAAGATCCGACTGGAATCAATTGCTTCGACATTTCGCCGAGGGAGCAAGCTGGCACACAACGATAGATCTTGGCGCCGTTCGGTTGAAGCATACAGAGCTGGCCTTGCGGACAAGGATTCGGCTTGCAGGGCGTCGTGATGTCCTCATCAGGATGGATCACAGCCTCGTCGTCTTGCGGATCATCCAGGAACGGTCGTAACGAGACACATGGCGCGTCCGGCCTGCCTGGCGATAATTTGGCGCACAAGGTAGCCGCTGTATGAGGTCCGGTGATCGCGCTCCAGTCCACGCAGCTCGCCATCAGTTCCAAACAATCTTCGCGGCAAAGCCGCGTCTCGTGAACTCTGGTTTCGCAAGGCCGCAACTGCAAAAGACAGGCTGCCGCACGCAGAGTCTCCGCTGGACAAGAAGCGGCAGCACGCACAGGTACACCTAATCCGCGAATAATGCTTCCTCTGGACCAATGGTCAGCTTCCCACTTGGCCGCGTTGTCAGCCGCCGTCGTGCACGTTCTAAAAGGAAAGGAAGAATAAAACAATTAATACATATCAAACATACACGGAAAGAACACTTTTTTGCTGGCAAATCTAAAAATTTGATCACATTTGATACAGATCTGAAAATAATTTTGTGGGCCCATCCAAAATTATTTTGTAGAACACTTAAATATGATGATTAATACTGCAAAAATGTTTGATCTTCCAACAATCAATTTGAATATCGAATATAATAATTTGGAAGGCTCAACAAAATTATTTTCAGATCTGTATCTAGCCAAATTTTTAGATTTGCCAGCAAAAGTGTTCTTTCCGTATATAAATTTAAAAATAGATTAGCGGCAAGATTCATAAGACAAGATCTTTGGCGCCTAATAATTTTTTTATTTTTGAATTTATATATAAATTTAAGATGCTGGTATTTTATTTTTGTGAAGAAATTAATATTCGATTATGATGAGTGTTAAAAAATGTTAAATTTTATCAATATCATTTGAAGCTTATTTGCATGTTCGAATTCAAAAATGTTAAAAAAAAATTTAGATTTCAGATTATTCATCAGGTTTTAATTACACTCACGATTCGTACCTGAACAAAGTCGTAGGTCTATCATTAAACCGCGCACAATAAGATAATCCAGAACAGCCCATCTCACAGGAGTCATCCGCGTCTTCGAGACATCTTCTTAATTCACCCTCTGAATTGGACGAGAGGCACAGTGCATCTAATTGTAGCCAGGCGATTTCCCAGTCTGCTTGAAAGGCTCGCCAGCACAAATTCTGACAGAACGGCCTCGTCGCTTTTGTACAGCACGCCAATTTACCAGCATCCAAAGGTAAACGCGCCGGCTTGCTCGAGCCCGATTTCAGCAGGCAACTCCACATCGGCGATTGAGGTAACACGGGGCTACAGTTCTCCGCCAGGCCGTCCATAATTTCCTGGTCGGTTGTCGCAGAGTGAAGAGTTTTACGACACGCATCCCGGCATACAGGAGTCGTGGCTTCCTCGCAACAATGCAAATCTACAAATACAGAATTAGCTAAATTCTAGTAGCTAAATGCTTCGAATAATTAATAATTAATCGATATCGAATAAATCGATAGCGAATAAACGATTAAAATATATAGCTAGATAAAGCTTATTAAGGAATATTATTTTTATAATGATTAAATAAATATGATATTCATAATGTTATTCTTTTAAAAAATTACGTTGTTATATAAGATAACAATAAGGTGCAGTTCAAATTTGACAATTATTAATGTACTGTGATTCTATGTGGATTGAATCATAATTTTTTTATTAAGTATTGACTAACGTTGTTTCGGATCCTCGGCGTGTTTCACTTCGGCTACGTTCTTCAGGCAGTTGGGAATCTGATGAAAGCAACCTTTGCTGCTGTATAGCTTCAAATTAGACTGAGTAGACTTCAAGTTGCTGGGCTTATAAAAGATGTCCTTGCAGATAGTTCTGCATGTATCATTGGAAACATTGTCGCAGCATCGTTCGACCTCCTCACGCTTTTCCAGACAGAAGAAAAACTCAGGTTCGTCACTTGGTCGGCAGGACTCGCTCAGATCATTTTTGGAACCAGATAGGGCACAAGTTGTGCGACATGTTGGATTCTGAGCGAGACGGCAACATCCCCGACCCATCCAATTTTCATTCCGTTTAAGATCTGTTAACATTTAAATAAATCGGAATTTTGAATCAACATTATTGTACACCTGTATACTGCTATGAAGACGCTTACCATTTAACGTCGTGTTCACACATGACCAAAAATTTACCTGAAAAAAAAAAAATTCGAAAGATTCGTGAGAAAAGACAGATGCAAAAAAAAGGAGAGAAAAAGGAAGAAATGAAGGAAGCAAAATGGCGCAATCGATCGATCGTGTGACCGCGAGTCCCGAGATCATCTTTCATAAAATCGTCACCGCGAAATAAAAAACGTGGATCGCGTTACAGACATCCTAAATCGTTTAAGGTGCCCATTGTCGAGGATACTTCCGATCTAGAATTGAGCTGAATGAAAGAAACGGGCGAGTGTCGATTACGCGGGATTCGAGCTTTAGAAATAAATCGTGTGGCAACTCACCAATTCCACGGAACAAAACTCCAGTAGACGTTGAGTAGCATTTTCCCTCGCTTCGATCTCGGCACCCAAGACTACCAAGGATATCTGTAAAGTTATAAAATCAAAGAATGAATACAAAAATTTTGATAAAATCATAAAAAAAAGATCATAAATGAATACGAATAAAAATTATTTTCGAACGTTACATCTCGGAGATTTAAAGTTATTTCGGAGAGAAAATATGAATGGTAAAGTAGCTAAAAAAGGAAGAGAGAGAGAGAGAGAGAGAGAGAGAGAGAGAGAGAGACTCATCGCACAAATGTAAATTATTTTGACGAGTTATATTTCGTCAACTCCTTCAACGTACACCACGGCTGACTCAAGCCGAACATTCGAGAACTCCCCAAATTCGAAATGCGGCGTGGCGCATTAGCTGCCATTAAAAATCAAGGACACGAATGCAACGCGCGGACCCCGCGATTTCCTGTTGCCCGTCACTGAATGATAATCATAGCCAGATATCACTCGCGCGTTTCGTCCTCATCCCGGATTCAATCGGCGTCCTCCGCGAGGACACGCCAGATCCACTCGGTATGTCCATCACGATTAGGAGTTACGACCATCCATCAACACGCGGTGGGTCCGACGGGCCCTGGCGATAGGCCCAGTCAAAGGTCGCACCCAACCAGCTGAACATAAATCATCGATCATCCGTTTGTATATTTTTTAGTAGCAATTTTTTAAATTAATTTAAAGACGTTTTGACGAGAACGACGCACAAATCATATTTTTATTTTTATGAAAATAATAATACGGTGAAAAATGAGCTATGTTAAACATTCGATTATATGGAGAAAAGATTTTTCTGACGATATTATTTTTAACTTCTTCGCTACACGAAGAACGCTTTTATTTTATAATTGAGCAATCCAATCCTGCAGAACACTTTTGTCAAGTTAGACTATTATAAATGTTAGAGGCAAAAGTGATGCGGAGCTGAGAAAACGATGTACGTATTTCCGTCGCGGTATATTCTGGGAAGTATGCGCAGCCGGGTCATGTCGCCATGTGGAAAGGGAATGCATTTTCCACTGGCGAATTTTTTGCGGCGGTTTTAACCAAGAAATATGTTGGCGACGACAAATTTTTATTTTCTGTGTACAATACAAATGCCTAGTAAACACATTTCTCAAATAATGATGAACTACGAATGACGCGAGATAAAAAATAATTTCACAATTTCTCTGTTTGCTATATCAATGAAAAACCCTCTGACGCGGGAAATGTTAAATCGTTTGCAAAAATCTGGAACGAATGTTCCTTCAAAGTTCATATGTTTCAGACCAGATAAATCAGGATTCGATGGCCTCCGGGCGAAAGATCAAAAGATACCGAAATAGAGCCACGGGCTTTCGTAATTTGCCGCACGCGCTCATTTGCCGAACTCTCGAACAATGCCACAAACGACTGTGGTCAAGTAATTAAATCAATAATCATCTGTAATTATTTTCAACATAAACTATATGCATTCAGTTTTTGTAGATATTTATAAATAATATCGATATGCTTTCAAATTACATGTTTTTCAAGCATGACGAGAATTTATTAATTTTAGAATAATAATAGAAAAATAATAGAAGAAAATACATCATATAATTTAAAAAGAGCTAATTTGATAAAAAAAAAGAATCAATTTCATGAAGAAGCGAAATGAAAATATCGTTGGTTTGCATTAGAAAATAAAACTCCATGTGTTTTTAATGAAGAAGCCTGTCCACCTCAAGAATAACTCATCATTCGAAGCTTTCGTCACAATTTCCGGTTATTTTATTACTAAATGGCCAAGAAGGAAACTCAAGTAATCAGTAATCAAGCAAGATGATCCGAAGAGACATTTGAGGCTTTCTCAAAGTTTTTCTGCATCTTATATCTGTCGTATTCTGTCGTATTTCACATTTGAATTGAGCAATAACGTCGCAACACGAAGACAAAAATTCAAAAATTTCAAGAAATCGTGTTGAAAAATTTTTATAAAAAATTTTACTGGACTTTTCTGTATAATTTTTACAGACGACTTTATTTTTCATTTAAAGCATATTTTCAAATATATCATTGATATCATTGATACTGCGAATAAATTCATATCGCAACCTTCGCAGTACTTGGCGATAAGATATTCTTTATGGACAAGATCCTCGTGCATCATTCTTCAGTAATCAACAAAGAGATGCTCCAGGTACATTTCCTCCTTCCTTTTGCCGAATAAACTGTGTGGAGACACGATATCATTGATAACGCGCGGTACGTCCACCGTGTTCAACGCGTCAATTCGTAATATTTGCGTATGAATGAGTCCGTAGGGCGCCCGGAGGGGTCCCGCGTAAATCTCACAGCGGGCCTCCGGTGTCTCCGATATTATCTTCGAAGAGGAGGCTCCCGCAGTCACCTCTAAAGAAGCCACAGTCAGGACGCACCCCACGTCGAGAAACCCTCATCGAAGGAAGCAACGAGGTATCCTTCTCATCTTTTTTTCCACCTATCCATTTCCACTCTTTCTTCTTTTCTCTTTCTCTTCTCTCGCCATTCCGTTTTTATTTCCCGGATCCTAATATATCCACGGACACGACATATTTCGTGTCCTTTATCGTCCCGGGGTCGACCCACGGATATTTATCAACCGCGCGATATCGCATTCGGACGATTATGCCCTCGAGATTGTCTTTTTGAAATTCCCACGGGACACCTTCCCTCGCACATAATTAATAGATTGTATTCCGCGGCGTGACCATGGCTAATTTCTTATCGTGGTCGACAAAGGCGTATCTTTGTACGATCTTAAATATTAATTTTGAATTCACGAGCAATTTCAAATTTTATAACATATTTTCTAACAATTACAAAGACACTTTGTTCCTAACTCGTTTCAATATGAGATATTAAAAAAGTGTGTTTCCTACATTTCAATTTAATTTAATTATATATTTTAAACTATACATTTGTAATATAGCTTTGAAATTTATCTTACATTAATTGTGAATATCTGCATATAACAGAGCATCGCTCTGACGCAGGTGTCTAATTTAATTGCCTTTATTCTTGGAATATGATTTTTAAGAGATGTTTTTAAGATTTCTTAAAGAAGAAGATTGCGAAGAGTGCAATATATTGTACTTATTTAAGATGCATACCTTGGAGCAAACACTCCGGCAGGAGCCAGCAGCCAGCGAGCAGCAGGACATCTCTGCAACAGACACAGAGGACGGATATTAGCTTTGTACGTCGAGAGAACAGATGGAAGTTATAGCCTGATGAACACGCACGAGGATCTTTTCTCTACTTTTCTGTCGACATGAAACAGACGCGTGTCCTGCGTTACGTCAGTATAAGAGAAGCAGAGAGGACGAGAAAGAATCCATTTTCAAGAGTCTACATGAGGGCACGTAATGTCAAAACTTCGGCCCCGAAAGGACCTCACATATAGAATCGGAGATTTTGATTTATGGAAGGAAAAATCGAAGAATATGCGCATGCGTATTTGATTTATTTTACTTTTATTTATAAAATTACGGGAGATTATTTTTGTTGTTTCTTTTTTTAAATTTTCGAAAACAATAATGTCATTATAATACGGTTGACTATTGTAATATATATTTGCACAACATAGAGTTGAGAAACCCTGGTAACGCCGTTATCATTACAGTTTTTCTTTTTTTTATAACAAAGGCCATTATTTATTAATTTTTTATTAATAACTGTGACGATAATAGTTGTATTTTTTCAGTAACGATAACAAATTTAATAGTTACTTTTATCTAATAGATACTTTTTATATTTTGAACATATTTTTGAACATATTTATGATATAATTTTCATATCATATTCAGTCCTCGAACTGATATTCATAGTCATAGTTATATTTAAGATCATCTTAAGAATTTATTAATTTATCATAAATCAATTACAGAGCCACATTAACATAAAAACAGACTTTATAAATATCCGTCTTTAAAAATTTATAAACATTAAAATTATTAACATTAATTGGAATACAAAACATACAAAATTAAAATTGGAGGATGAAAAAGAAATGGAAAGAATACATTTGTCTATATACATGTATGAATTTATTGAAACAAAAAAAACCACAATCTTTTTACTCGCATTTTAAAATCTTCCTTTTTCATCTTTCTTTTTTCCTGCAAAATGTAAGATAAAAAGTTTTTATTGATAGTTTAACAAAAAATATTAGAAAAGTAAATTTTTTATCTAAAATCTGACCTCATCTTAGTATTAAAAAAAATAATGATAACGATAACGAGTTACTTTTCAAAATTAATAACTAATAACGGTCACTAGTTACTTTTTTAATTCGGTCACGATAACGCGTTACTTTTAAAAAATATATCTTTCCCAATCCTAGTGCAATTTTTAATAAAAAACAAAATAAGACAGAAGTCTCGGGACGGTCGTCGCGGGCGTTTCTCGCCGGTGATCTTAAATATTGAAGTTTCCGTTCCATCCAGCGACTGTGCAGTGACATGCAGTCGAGAAATACATTCCGTGTGTCCCCTTTCTTCACAGCGCTTTCAATTATTAAACGATCGAGGGGAATTGTCCGGTAACGTCGCTCGCGCGGATCGAACAATCGAATAAGATATCCTGCCCTTCGCTCGAGAGCCTTTCCTCGTATTTAACGACAAACTCGGAGCTCGTTTCGAGAGTAAGACTGATTTTCGAGCTTCGGGCCGGTACTTATCGTTGGTGGACAGTCTGTTGCCCTTACAACGCTTCGATTGTGACGTAATTATGTACCGCAGCGTCGAGCACGCGTTTATTCCTGTTTCTATATTTCTGACGTGAATGCCTGTCAACGGCTCCTCCCAAACGTGTCACGTTTGACGTGAAAGATCTTTAACGACTTTACGGGGGTTAACATGCGGGTCCGATCAAAGTGACTCGTGTGAAAGGAGCCTTTTGAATGGCGACTGAAATCGTAAGGGCCGCCGACCGCGCCGACACGTATGCACTGCGTTACAATGAAGCTAATAGATACCAATTAAAAGCAAATTGTGAGCTCCCACTCCGTCTCGTTTCGTTTCGAAGAAACGTTCGAATCCGTTACGTACGTACTATCGTGTACGGCAGAGTGCATTTTTTAACGTTGACAGAGTCTCCAGGAAAAATATAGTTAAATATGTATTCTCATATACACATTTATAAATTTTTTACAAATGTCATTTGAAGCGTCCTTTCATAAAATTATTCTTTCGAACGCGACAGTTTGAATTTCACGTTGTTTGAATTTCACGACACTCAAGGAATTATAATTACGACTATATTGTCGAGAACGGGGGAATATCAATCGCGCCGGGGATCGTTGGCATTCCTGAACAAACAGGAGGGTGCTCGAGGAACGTTCTCCTATTACAGAATAAATTACAAATGTTTGGCTAGATATCGGTTTCGGTCACCGACACCTGGCACTTATCCGTTTTGTCACCGAGTTATTCACGTCTGTTCCTAAAATATATCAGCGCCGAGATGATTTGTGAAAGTCGAATCATATTTTCCGCTCTCACATGATTACTATTACAGAACGTATTCGAGACCCGCCGTTCTCTCGTTTATCACCGTAACTTCGACCGCACGCGAGAGTCTTAGTTTATTTTATATTATTTCATTTTTCATTTTTTTTTTTTTTTTATTCATTACACGTGCAAGCGCATTTGCGACCACTTTGCCGTCGTAAAAACTCGCGCGGATCGTTTAAGACACCTTTAATCGAATCCTCGCCACAAAGGGCCTTGACGTTTTCCACGTGAAATTTCGCGGCGACAAGTGCGTCACGCCGTTAAACGCGACGTTTTGTGACTCCTGTTGCGGACGACACAAAAATAGCTGGCGTCATTCGCGGCCATCCGGCGTTTACACCGATCTAAACTGCGGAGCCCCCTTCACTTTATCCTACCCAATGCCGCGTTACCCGAGAAGCCGAAAAGTTCGTGACTTTGATGAGAAACATCGGATCGACTGTATTTCGAATCGAGTAACTCGTAAAGATGATTTATGCATTAGGAAAAAAAATTAGTGCCTTTAACAAAATTGTTTAGTAGCGTTCTTTTCACAGCAGTAAAATGTTTTGTTTTACATAACAAAAAATTTAGTTATTTTTGTAAAATACATTTCTCTATTTCGTAAATAAAATTTCGTATATAGTAAAGCTATTATTTTCGTAAATGTGAATTTATAAATGATTGGATAATTAAAGCTGTTGCTATGTAAAAAAAAAAATTCATTTTGTTAACGTCTTTTGATTACTGTACCAAAAGATAAATAGTAATAAGAACAAAATGTAAATAACAAAAAAATATTTCTTTATACTATAAAAAATAATATTTTATAACTAAACAGTTTTATTCGATACATTTCGAGCAAAACTACAAAATCGAATTTTAACCAAATTACTGTCTCATTTCAACAAAATTTTGATTCACGGAACAAAATATTTTTCCCAATGTGTATAGAATGTTTTATTTTCTACGAACGCTGCATTCAGATTTGTCAAAAAGATAAAATTGAAATTACAAAAAATAATATAGAAAATTCGAGCAAATAAAAGATGTTACACAAAAAAAACCAATTTTACTGACAAATCCAAGAATTGACCAGAAACAGATTTGAAAATAATTTTGTTGTACCTTTAAAATTATTACGTACGTTCAAATTGGTTACTAGAAGGAAAACTTTTTATAGTGTTATTATCATGTTCAAGCGTCCTACATAATAATTTTGATAATCCAACAAAATTATTTTCAGATCTACATATGAAATTTTTAGATTTGTCAGCAAGACGCTGTTCTCTCCGTGTAGAAGTGCAATTATACAATTAGAGATAATGTAGTAATATTAGACTCGAGAGAAATCGACGATGACGCTGGTATGTCGGAAAGTGACAAACAGCGCCTAAAGTGGACCGTTTAATTTGACTAATACAAAATTCCATGGAACGGGACCGGTGGCATTTTAAACGCCATTAATACGCTTGATGAAGCGAGGGAGCGTCTCGCGCGTCTCCTCTGGTATTAGCATAACAAAATAGGAAACGGCCGGCGACACTATAATACTCGCGAATCCTTCCGAGAACGATCGCGCCGCGTTCCATCTCGCGTGTGCCCATTCCATGGATTATATGTTGCGCGATCATAATGCCGTGCCTCGGGGACGTGTTGTAAATTTAATTCGACGTTTTCTCTCGCGGCTTTGTCCCTCGTTTTTCTCCTCTTTGCTTTTCAAACGCACCACGTCGAATGCGCCTAATGCACACTCGCGCCGATGCCCCGCGCCGATAATGACAGATTTCATCTGCAGTAAATCCGGCCTGAGCGCCACGGTAATTCGCGAATGCCGCGTCTAAATTTATACAACGCGCCACGTGATTTTGCATGGCACAACTTCTGAGCCGGTCTCTAACGGGAAATTCGTCCTCCGTCGATAAAATATATTTTTTAATCGCGCATTAATCATGCTAGAGAGTAATAAATCCGAAACATGAATCGTTCTGTGATCTCCCCCCCCTCCTCCCTCCTCCTCCCCCGCCTGATTAGAGTCGGAATACCGATTAACATGAATAATGCATCGCGGCATCTATGCGACATTTACGTATCAGTGTCGTTTATGTCTTCCTGCGTGTCTGGTCGCATCCTGTCCCTCCCCCCCTTCTCCGAATAATCAGTATGTCGGTCCACGCGCGTGCCCAAGACAATGAGCAATGTCTTCACGCGCGTAATTTACGACGAATCGTCATTTCTCTCTCTCTCGCCTCGCGAATCCTTCTCGGAACGAAGCGAACGCGTTTCCTCAACGAATTTAAACGAGGTGACGTCGATCGACGGGAATGTGTCGTACAACAGTGATTCCTCCTCTCTGTCCGGCTCCGTTATATGTATACACAATCTTGCATACGGTCGCGTAACTGCATTCGCAGCTGCACGCCTTTCGACTGTGACATCGCCGACGTTGCTCTGCTCTCGTAAAAAAAAAAAAATCCCTCGTGCAATTCTCACGTTCCGAGGTAACGAGCTTACCAGCGGATGTGACTTATGTGCACGCTGATCCGAGAAAGTCAGAAAAAAGTCACTGCGCAAAAATGTAATGCGTCGCGATGCGCCGGGAAAATTTTATCATTCGAGCCATCGAGAGAGGGATGCTCATTTCCTCTATAAATAGGGGCTTCAAATAGAA